ACGAAAAGACTTCCAAAGTTAACGTTTAAATGGCAAAAAAACCGTCTTCCTGAAATAGGGTAAGGAAAATTTGTCTTGGCAAAATTCCATTTCGTAGCTATTGATTAAAACACTCATTAGTGGACGTATGTGACTCTTGTCCTTGAGGCGGAAGGCCGAGACGTTTTTACCACGTTACTGAGTACCTTGAACCAAGGGCAAATAACTCATATAAGTAATTTGGTTCATAGTGAAATATACCACACGAGACAGGTGAACAGGGTTCCAACCTGTGCCAACTCCTGAACTTTGACTTACAAGATGTAGGTATGTGACTATGTTTAGCTTGCATAGATTTGCCATCTCAACAACGGTGATTTACAAGCAGTGAAACATGTTTAACTGTCACTTCCATTTTGTTTGTATTTTAAGGAGTTGTTTTATTCCGTAAAAATTCTGGTTCCATCTCTGAATTATTAGCAATAGTCACTTCCTTACCCGACTGATAATGAAAGAAGTATCAAGTTTTTGCCTTGGGTCGAATGAGGATGCTGAGCCCGTCCTTTGAGTCTTATATGCCATCTAAGTTTTCACTCTAAGTTTTCACTCCACCCCTGAATCACGAATACAACGCAACAACAATCTGAAAAGTATTGAGAAAGGGTACGATTTGAAGTTTAATTACTGAAAAAATATCGAAAACAGTACACTATTAAATGTTTGTCGAAGCTGCGTACCAAATACGATTTTACTTGCGCCCCTCGAACCACATTGCTGAGTCTCGAATGAGTGAGTATGGTTTAACGCCGTTTTTAGCAATATTCCAGCAATATTACGGCGGAGGACACCAGAAATGGGCTTCACACATTGTACCCATGTCGGGAATCGAACCCGGGTCTTCGGCGTGACGGGCGAACGCTTTAACCACTAGGCTACCCGATCGCCCCTGCTGAGTCTCGAATACTCTCGAAATAGACCCCCGAATGCCGAAGGGGGTTGACAGTCTTCGTATTTCACCAAGGAGAATATTGCAAGTGCTGTTTAAATTCATATCTGCTGTATTGGAATTGCTGTATGACCGACTTTCTTTTTAATTAATTACAGGTTGTTAATTAGCATAATGGCCGTGATGTCATCCCCAGTGTCGTCACCTCGGATCATTTGTAACATGACCACACAGATGACAGTTCATCAAGTGTGTACGAAACACCTAGAAACCCACGGGTAGAGTGCTGACACACTTAGAAACATACGGGTAGAGTGCTGACACACCTAGAAACCCACGGATAGAGTGCTGACACACCTAGAAACCCACGGTTAGAGTGCTGACACACCAAGAAACCCACGGGTAGAAGGCTGACACACCTAGAATCCCACGGGTAGAGTGCTGACACACCTAGAAACCCAGGGGTAGCGTGCTGACACATCTAGAATCCCACGGGTAGAGTGCTGACACACCTAGAAACCCACGGGTAGAGTGCTGACACATCTAGAAACCCACGGGTAGAGACCTGACACACCTAGAAGCTCACGGGTAGAGTGCTGACACATCTAGAATCCCACGGGTAGAGTGCAGACACACCTAGAAACCCACGGGTAGAGTGCAGACACACCTAGAAACCCACGGGTGTAATGCTGACAGAGCTAAAAACCCACGGGTAGAGTGCTGACACACCTAGAAACCCACGGGTAGAGTGCTGACGCACAGAAACCTACGGGTGTATTGCTGACACATCTAGAATCCAACGGGTGTAGTGCCGACACACCCAGAAGCCCACGGGTAGAGGGCTGACACACCTAGAAACCCACGGGTAGAGGGCTGACACACCTAGAAACCCACGGGTGTACTGCCAACACACCTAGAAACCCACGGGTAGAAGGCTGACACACCTAGAAACCCACGGGTAGAGTGCAGACACACCTAGAAACCCACGGGTAGAGTGCTGACACATCTAGAAACCCACGGGTAGAGTGCTGACGCACAGAAACACACGGGTAGAGTGCTGACACACCTAGAAACCCACGGGTAGAAGGCTGACACACCTAGAAACCCACGGGTGTAATGCTGACAGAGCTAAAAACCCACGGGTAGAGTGCTGACACATCTAGAAACCCAGGGGTAGAGTGCCGACACACAGAAACCCACGGGTGTAGTGCTGACACACCTAGAAACCCACGGGTAGAAGGCTGACACACCTAGAAACCCACGGGTAGAGTGCTGACACACCTAGAAACCCACGGGTGTAGTGCCGACACACCTAGAAACCCACGGGTATATTGCTGACACATCTAGAATCGAACGGGTGTAGTGCTGACACACCTAGAAATTCACGGGTAGAGTGCTGACACACCTAGAAATTCACGGGTAGAATGCCGACACACCTACAAACATACGGGTGTAGTGCTGACACACCTACAAACATACGGGTGTAGTGCTGACACACCTAGAAACCCACAGGTGTAGTGCCGACACACCTAGAAACCCACGGGTGTAGTGCCGACACATCTAGAAACCCACGGGTGTATTGCTGACACATCTAGAAACCCACGGGTGTAGTGCTGACACACCTAGAAACCCACGGGTGTAGTGCTGACACATCTAGAAACCCACGGGTGTAGTGCTGACAGAGCTAGAAACTCACGGGTAGAGTGCTGACACATCTAGAAACCCACGGGTGTAGTGCTGACACACCAAGAAACCCACGGGTGTAGTGCTGACACATCTAGAAACCCACGGGTAGAATGCTGACACACCTAGAAACCCACGGGTAGAGTGCTGACACATCTAGAAACCCACGGGTAGAGTGCTGACACACCTAGAAACCCACGGGTAGAGTGCTGACACATCTAGAAACCCACGGGTAGAGTGAAGACACAACTAGAAACTCACGGGTAGAGTGCTGACACACCTAGAAACTCACGGGTAGAGTGCTGACACACCTAGAAACGCACGGGTAGAGTGCTGACAGAAATAGAAACTCACGGGTAGAGTGCTGACACACCTAAAAACCCACGGGTAGAGTGCTGACACACCTAAAAATACCACGGGTAGAGTGCTGACACACCTAAAAACCCACGGGTAGAGTGCTGACACACCTAAAAATACCACGGGTAGAGTGCTGACACACCTAAAAACCCACGGGTAGAGTGCTGACACACCTAAAAATACCACGGGTAGAGTGCTGACACACCTAAAAACCCACGGGTAGAGTGCTGACACACCTAAAAATACCACGGGTAGAGTGCTGACACACCTAAAAATACCATGGGTAGAGTAATCTGTAATCTGGGACGAAACGCAGCTTTGAACATTATTTCACAAGGATCACGACGTGTCAGCTTCATGTGGAAGGACAGCCCAAAATGAAGCAAGTCGGAGACGTGTACCACTTTGGTGAAACCCACAGGTATGGTGCTGACAAACCAAGGACCGTGATCGGGGAATCTAGGATTCGAACCCAGGTCCAGTGGAGCCAGGCAGCAGCGGGACACAACACTGCATGAAACCCACGACCACAGGTATGGTACTGACAAACCTAGAAACATAACCGGGGCGAACCCACAATCATAGGTTTCTGGCGTGCCCAAGGGACAAAACTCTGCACAGTGAATCGCGGCGCCTCAGACGACTGGGCCACCCGTGCCCCCTTATATGACGAAGTCACAGATGACATTTGCTTGGTGATGTTAAAGGGTGTTTTAAAGTTTTATTCAGTGATGAAGAAAAGACGGAATGAACCTGACTGAACAGTTAAAAAGTGCACCATCTGTTCTGGATCTCCTGGTGTAGTGTCTCACATACCACAGCATAATGAAAGTACGTACGCAGGCATATGGTTTAACGTCCGCTTTTTTCGTATGACTATAGTTAATCAGTCACGACCTCCTCTTTTGTGTTATATTTAATCAGCAATAATATATTGTTATATGTTTAATGGTTTTGCCTCATTCGATCTCTCTTGTTCGCTCGCTCTTTCTTTTATTCACATAAACCATGAACAATCCTTTAAAAGTGGCGGTAAACAGAGGCCACTTTGCACGAATACAGTTTCCCACTGAATGTTTACTGTGGCTGTGACGTCAGTTAGCCCTGATCATAAGTGGGATGTTTGACTTCACCAAATCCAATCAAGGCATCGGTCGTGAATTAATCAACTGATTAATTACGTTGTGACTTCTAATTCCAACGTGTCAAAGGAGAACCCAATAATAATTTTATTGCCTTTATACAATTGCTCCCTTCGTTCCCCAGCATCTTCATTCGGCGCTGTGTGCATTTGTATTTTTCTATTTGTGTGTACAAGGTTCTGTGTGTTGGTAGCAGTCCGGTCTGATTCTGTGTGTACAAGTGTTAATTTGTTTGCTTGTTGTTTAACGCCACACTCAGCAATATTCCAGCTATATGGCAGCCGTCTGTAAATAATCGAGTCTGGACCCGACAATCCAGTGATTGATATCTATCTACGCAGTTGGGATACGATGACATGCCAAGTCAGCGAGCCTGACCACCCGGCCACGTTAATCGCCTCTTACAAGCATAGTCGCCTACAAGTGTTAGTAGCAGTCAGACCTGATTCTGGGAGTGTACGACCCGTGATAATACGGGTTAGGATTACTCTTCAGCAACCCATGCTTGTCTTAACAGGCGACTAACGGGATGGGGTGGTCAGGATCGCTGCATTGTTTATGCAGGTCACCGTATCCCTATTGTAAAGATCGATGCTCATGATGTCAATCACTGGATTGTTTGGTCCAGACGCGATTATTTACAGACCGACCTCATAAAGACGGAATATTGCTGAGTGTGGCGTTAAACAAAGCGTGCACTTGTGTGAGCACCAGTCTGTGTGCGTATAAGTCCTAGAACCAGTCTGGCCTGGTTGTTAGGGAGTACCCAACTGTATATAGAAGTCGCGTCTTCTCGGCAGTGCAAGAACGATACGTCTGATCCCAAATAGGAAAGAGTGCCTGGTTCCAGCAACATGATCACCACAACGTATAAAACACAACAGAAGTTCCCCTAATGTATCAACACTGTACATTTATTGACAACAAGTCTCCGTAGCTCCATCATATCTCAGTCTCACCAGTATATACACACAGTCACACACAGGCTCTCGTTACACGTTAATTAGCACAGGAAAAAACACAATTGCAAGTCCAAGCGTCTCACATCAGTGTCCAGCGATGAGTGTTTCAAAGAAAAAAACAATACCTCATAAAAGCAAATCACGGTAAACAAAGTGCGTTCCCTCGTGGAGGAAACTAAATACCCAGGGAATCCCTTATTCCCCTCCCACAGACAAAGTGAGGGGCCCGGCAGAGTTATCCTCAGGGCTTTTCTTAGGATAGGGGTGGAGGGTGGGGTCAATACATTGATTGAATGAGTGACCTTGGTCTTGCGCCGCTTTTAGCCATATTACAGCAATATCCCGGCGGGGGAAGGGGGGGGTACCAACAATGGGTTTCACATATTTCCAAAATGGAATCGAACTCGTCTTCGGTGTTTAACCACAAGAGTACCCACTGCCGGATGTCGGTTCTAGAGGGATGTAGGTTCAACAGTTGATTATTTCACCTTTCTGAAAACAGTTTAACGTCACATCGGCAATATTTCAGCCATATCGTGACGATCCGCATTATGAGTTTTATACGATAAAACGATGGTTCTCTTTCTCGGTGCCATCAGCAGGTTGGGCGAAACGCAGATTTTAACATCATTATTTCACAATGATCACAACGTGTCAACTCCATGTGGAAGGACAGCCCAAAATGAAGCAAGTCGGAGACGTGTACCACTTTGGTGAAACCCACAGGTATGGTGCTGACAAACCAAGGACCGTGATCGGGGAATCTAGGCTTCGAACCCACGCCACGTGGAGCCAGCAGGCCGCAGCGGGACACAGCACTGCACGCTGAGAACCCGTGACACCGTTCTCCAATCACAACTGAACCCAAGTCTCGGAAATAAAATGTTACATCTCGTGTGTGCGATATTCAAGTATATATAAACATATGGTCAAAAGTGCACAGTTTGAATACGCTCGTTTTCAACAGTTGTGCGCAACCGAATTTATTCAGTTCGACGTTTAACGTGATACATTTTATGTCGGAGAGAGCCATACACACTGGACACAGTTTTACTTCCAGCTGATCAATATCAAATATTGTCAATATATATTTTCAAGACATTTTGTCAATTGACAATTTTTTGTCACAAGGTAAAGAACATGTGTACATGTCTGCCCGTACAGTTGAAACACACAAGAACCAGGCCAATACAGAAACAATTCCAACAAGCAATCTTACTCTCTGTGTTCAGTATTTACGTATGATATTCAAGATCATCACATTTCAAAATACGATCGATACTGTGAAACAAAATTCAAGTTTACGTTAATCCAGGCCGAAGGAATGTTATTCATATTTTGTAGATCATTTCTACCATACTTGGCTACACTCGTCTCACACAGCGTATCCGGTGCACAGCTTTGATGACAAATACCCCACCAATATATTCTCCCTTCTTTCAAGACCAGTATTTTTTTAAAGCTAAATTTTCAAACATATTGAAAATGCAGTAACCGAATATCTTTACAGTACATTAATCACATGTAATCTATATACTTAATCCCCGGTTTCTCACAAATAAGTTGCAACTGTGAAAACCTCCTGAAACCTAATACCATCATTTAAGAGGAAAAAATGATAACTAAAAAGTGAAAAGACGTTAAATGAATTACATTAGGTCACGTGTCATTTCAGAATGGTAAAATGTTTCATCTAAAGTTCTTAAATGAGGCATGTTTTATTTTTCTTTGATGAAAAAACGGACTTCACAATAAATTGCATGAAAGTACAGAATTGATGTATCTATGAGGTACATGTTAAAGATACAAACGACCCCAAGAATAGCTAGAGTATACTGGATAATTGTCATGGAACGGCGCCCTCCCCGTGATTGAAGTTTCTATAAATTATCAACAAAATATAGGCACTTAAATGTTACCGTTCGAGCCACCTACATATAACGTAACACATCATACTACAGCACGTGCAACGAATTGAAGTGACAGAGACTGTACACGCGGTGGAGACGGGCGTGAGTGTTCAGATTGCCGCAAGGCTGCACCAGACAGTTTCACTGGACCAAAGCATAGGAACGGGTTTATGAACGGAATATTTACAAGTGTACATTCTCTTCCTTTTCCAGTCACTCTTGATAAAACATGGCCTTGCGAATAAGACACTGCAGCTATCAGTATCTCACTGTCGTCTGCTGTCATCGCGTCATGATGACGTCATCGTTCATTACGGCGAACCGGAAGTAACGTCTCCACAGCTGTTTGCTTCGACCAGACAGTTGTTGACAGTTCTTGTATACTGTCTAAATAGTTGCAGAAACGAAAATGCTCATAAAGTCAAAATGTTTTGAGAACGTTTCGTGTCTGGTATTGTAGCACACCTCCTCAAACAAGTCGCTGTTTGCGTTTGTGATTTCCCTCAAAGAGCAGACGACAATGGGTTCCGCCATTTACAGTTAACGGCCATTTTGTTTCCTGCACCTTGGCAATGTCAAGAATCGTCATCACGTTAAATATTTAGCCACTTGTTGATCCTCAGCGAGAAGGCCCGGTATTGTTTGTGTGTTGACAAACGAGGACATCCAACAGGCAGAATGTTGCCGTGTTCACCATCGCGAGCTGCTGCTGCTGCTGCTGCTGCCCTAATGGCCGACTGACCGGAGATGCAAAGATTGGATGAAGATTTGTGAAATGACCCTCTAACAAACGAGTAGCCAATGGAGAGGGCGTGAACAGTCTTTACGAGTCAGCCATCAACATACCTGAAACATACAAAATAGGAAATGTGTTATTTAACCGATTAAGAATATTAGAACTAACAGTCACGTTTTCAATTTGAAATATGGCAACATGAACAAGGGGGGGGGGGGGGGGGAAGAGAGAAAGCAATTCCAGTACGTTTTACTACTAAAATTGAAGGGGAAAAATACACCAACTCTCAGTCGTCAGCGCTCAATTCCCCCGCGTAATCATCACCTGATGACAATTGGCGCTGAATACAAGGACCACTTGAGTTTATAGGTTTATAGCCTGTCATAATCAAATTTTGAATCTGCGAAGAATAAAACCATCTATATTTCAATACTTTCAACATTGGAGTTTTGTCCTTGAAATACTTTAAGTAAGTGGCGCGGGCAGTGGGGTAGCCAAGTGGTTAAAGCGTTTGTTTGTCGCAACGATGGCCCGAGTTCGATTCCCCACGTGGGTACAATGTGTGAAGCCGATTTTGCTGGAGTCCCCTGTCGTGATAATAACATTGTTACGGAAAACAGAACTAACTAAAGGGGTGCGAAACCCACACACTCATGGAAGGAGTGTTGTTTGATGGACTCAACCCTAAAAGTTAAAATGCATGACGTTCGACCGTATGTAAAACGATATAGCTGAATAACTTTCATCCGTACGCAGTACTGTAAGGTACCCGTGAAGATCGGGGTAGAATAGGCATTCAACAACCCATTCTTGCCGTAAAAGGCGACTAACGGGATCGGGTGGTCAGGCTTGCTGACTTGGTTGATGCATGTCATCGATTCAAATTGCGTGGATCGATGCTCATGGTATTAATCACCGGATTGTCTGGACCAGACTGTCTTATTTACAGACCGCCGTCATATTGCTGAGTGCTGCGTTAAACAACAAACAAACAAACAAACATTACTGTATGGCCTGGTCGGAGAGCGATACCCTTCACTGTAAAAACCCACTGACCATCCTAGGTGTTCTGTTCTGTTCTATTCGCAACCACAGAAGCAGTTAATCAGTTAATTACCCCCAAACACCTAGCCTCATGTGGAAATGAGCACGGTTTCATCAAGATCATTATAAGCCCATCAAATATTAAAGCCCTTTTCCAAATCAAATGAACTTCAAAACTTTTAGTGTATTTTTTTCACTCCCAAACCAGGAGGCCGATGCGAGATTATATTCTATCATGGCGTCCATGCATCGGGTCGAATGTTCATACACCTTTCATTTCTGGTCCTGGGTAATCAAGTCTCCCCTGCTCTTGGCAGTCAGACGTGAGAAAGCAATTCCATCTTTTTAATTTAGAAGCTAATCAGCCTACATCTCAGCCAGTTTCCATTGCGGGTAATAGGCTGAGGTGCTAGCACCCCTACTCCCACAACGCTCATATACCGAAATTACTTTCAGTAAATAGCCTTCCAAATTAAAGTGTTTATTACTCGTAATTATGCAACCCTAATTACTGTACTGCTCTACCAATACGGGTGAATGACATGGCCTGTACACAAGTCAATTAAGGCATTTTAAGTAGCGTGACATTAATTAGGCTCCTGTTGCTAGCTATGTAGTCTGTCACAATATGAGTGAATGGGCGAAGGATCAATGGCGGACGACTCGCTCGGGGCTCGGTCGTGTCATTGTAATTAACTGTACACTTAGATTAAACTCCGTCTACATTGGCAGATTATGCCAGTCCTCCTACAATTACGGTATTAAGTGGGCTGTAACATATTGCGTTGAGCCGGAACACAGGACGAGAACTCGCGTGGGGCTACCCGGAGAAGTGGTAATATGACAGGAAGTCGCCGCCATGACATGCCGGGGCGCAGAGTTATCGCCCCTTCCCAACTGACCAAATTAAACCGTCGCGTCTGTAAACTTACTGAGGCTATTTTTCTTGGGAATGAAAGTGACGGTGAGGAAGTTTTTACGTCGCTTTGAACACCTTTACAGCTGCACCACGACGGAAAGTGCAGACTATGGGGGAATCGAACCCGGCTTTGAAACCTGACGAGCCAACGCTTTAGCCATCCTATCGCCGCTCAGATAGAACAGAGATCGTCAAGTACACGTGATATTTCAAGCTTTCGGGCAACTCCAGGCAGTTGATACTGAACATATATGGGAACATTATTTGGTTTCAATCATCAGTCGGTAAATTGTTTGCCATGGGATGAAACAGACAGCCATCTGTATCCACAAGCCAATTATCAGGGTATTTAGGAAGGCTGATTGCAATGTCGCAAAAATAAACTTGGAAGAGAAAACATGTATCCAGTTTTCATTAGATAATGAAACAGACGGTTTTCCTGTGCGATGTTTATCACGAACTCAGACAAATTAATTATTCATTCAATTAATTAACAAGGTAAATAATCCGTAGAATCAATTTCATTTGCTGGGCGGCTGAATCATTTCACGGCTCATGCTAACAACAAAATTAGACATTACATTAACACTGTATGTGTAGTTCGCGGAACGCTGCATCTGATTAAGGGGATGACGAACCTCGTTGCGTAAAAAACACACTCGTTTCACGCTAATGAGACCGATGTTCGCTTTGAATGATTGGCATTATGATCTACACAAAGCGGGCGATATGTCGCTGTCCTCATGTATTATGATCTACACAAAGCGGGCGATATGTCGCCGTCCTCATGCCAGTCATCAGGGCAAACTCTCAAGTCACTGTGAAAAGACGTTTTTAATTTCACGCTCGAGGTTGCTGTCGAGGTTGCCCCATTGCATACGTTCGTTACGTTCAGCGTGTCTTAAAGAGTATGGTTTTACGCCGCTTTTAGAAATATTCAAACAATATCATGACGCGGGACACCAGAAATGGGCTTCACACATTGTACTCATATGGGGAATCGAACCCGGGTCTTCGGCGTGACGAACGAACAATGTGACTACCAGGCTACCCCACCATCCCGTGTCTTAAAGAAACAAGACGAAACTTAAAGGGGAACTGAACTCGGGTCAATTGGCAGTCCTCGCAGGTTCAATGACGTATACTTATCTCATGTGGACAATGTCTCAGTTTTATACTACTCAAATGAAGTCAAGAACCGCTGATTCTTTCATATCTTGGCTTATGACAGATCAACTATGGTCATATGAAAGAATCGGGTGGTCCCAAACCTCTTTTGGGGAGTACACATCAGACACTATGCTACATGTAGACCTAGAGTTAGTCCAATGAAACATGGCGTTAGTCATATTTAACGCGGGTCATGCCGCTTGGTGTGGTCTTCGAAGCGTTTCAAATTATCTAGCCATCAGCTTATCTCGTTATTACGGCAATTATTCATTTCAGCATGTTAAAAATAACCGGGGAGACGTTTTGAAAAAAAAATCATATAGATCTCATCTAACAACTATATCCAAATACCCACGTTGCCAATATCGAAATCATATATAATCAACCGTAATTCGATTCACGAATATCAAGAGTAAATAATTAATTACTGTACAACTAGGTTGCTCCGAATCCTATTTAATTACACAAAAGTTCAACTCCAGCAAGGACCGGGCGCAGCATACGTGTTTATTGGCTGTCGGAGGAGAGGACGACGAAAGCCGTTTTCTCGAGTCTCCGATGAACATGGCCGACCAGCTGAAAACCCGAATATAGAAATGAGGTTTATGATCAAAGGGCTTCGATTGCTCAGTCCCTATCAAATTAAGCATCCGACTATTCCAAGCGATAGCGAAACACAACACACTCCACGTCCATGTAAACAATCGTGCAGCACGTGCTGCAGCTAGTGGCGCCATCTTGCGGGGAAAACATTTGGCACAATTCATACTTCTTGATCTACGGGTCCCCTTCACCCCGATCAAAGGCACAGAGAGCTGAAATTATTTCAGCTGATCTGCGCCCGGGGTCCATGATGGACTTTGGTAAGCTGTATGTCTTGGAAGTTGGAGCACGACATGGTTGCATCCTCTCCAATTTCGGGGAGGGATTTCAGGGAATTAAACATGTTAACATTACGGTGCGTGCTCGTCATGACATCTCCATCACGTGCGCGGCCATTGATCTCCGCGAGCAGTTTCCACATTGCCGAAATCCGGTCGCGGGCTAACGACATACCGTAAACCGGCACGGTAATAGGCTGGTATCGAATATCGAATTCTAATTTCAATTTCTCATTCAAATAAGCCATTCCTTTTACACTAAATAATTGCCGGCACAGATGGAGCGACTATTAAATGGACCTCAAGACATCAGTTTGAGACTGTATGCTGATGACAGTCGATTCGAGGGATAAGTCTTTGAATCAGCGCCCTGTCAGCTGATCAATTACCCACAATACACTTTCACAGAATATAAATTTCGCAAAAACGAAACTGCTTCTGAAAACGACTACAATAATAGAAGAATCCTTTCACCGAACAGCGAGAACAGCCTTGGTTGTATGGTTGGACTTAATCATTTCAAGTCGTTCATCATAACAGCTTCAATAAGAACGGTGGCGGGAAGTACACATCCAAGACAACGCGGAACAACCACACGGCTCTCCGTCTGATTGAGTGAGAAGCATTAATTTCTCATTTACGACAAATGGCGCTGATTTTTCATCCTATATCTGGTATTCTCGTTTTGGTTTCAAGAACCCAACCAGATTGTTTTCCCGGTTAATTGCTGGTCCGCTCCATCTGATGAGGTTACCACCAACTCCAACGCGGTGGGTGAGTGAATGAGGTTTAAAGAGTCTTTTAGTTATGTCCAGACATCCGTTCGATTGCCATACACAAAGCGTACACTGCTCGTTGTAGCTTAAACGTATAAGATTAACATACTTTTGTGCTTGTCCATATTACAAGGAAATCAGACAAACACTATTTCCTTTTTTATATTTCATAAATACCCGTCAGAGAAAAAAACCATTCAATTTGTGTCCAGCAAAATGTTAACATAATCAGAGGTCCAGCATATTATTTGAGGTGAGGTGACATAGGGCTTAACGTCGCGTCCAAGATTATTACACTTACATGGCGACGTGCATGCACGTGTGCGTGCGTGCGATTGGCTGTTTGTACTGGCCCGGACTAGTCCAAATTTAAAGTGCTCGCCTACTGAGTTTGCCTAGAATACCCCACTCAGACACAGTATACTGACTCCGAGACGACCAGTCTTCGTTTTAGCCCCTCAAAGCCGAGCGCCAGACAGGGTAACAACAAGTACCATCTTTTAACGTCTATTGGAATGATGCAGGCTGCATCAGGGATCGAACCCCGGACCTTCCGCTCTCCGGGCGAACGCTCTGCCACTAGACCTCGGAGGCGGCTAGCCCTCATGAAACAAATCTAGATTTTCCAAAGGTTCTGAATATCACTTCTCACTGGAGCTCCTTTTCAATATAAACGGAGTTGTTTGTTTCTATCAAAACACAATTGTCAGAGACTAAGCGTTAGTCCAAGATTGATGCTGACGAACCGAGAAACATGATTAGGACCAACCGCGACTCGAATCCACGATCACAGGACACAACTCCGCACAGGTAATTGCGGCGCCTTAGACGACTGGGCCACTCGTGCTCTGCAGCCTGCACACATGCAGGTGGTTGACAACTCCGCATAGGTAATTGCGGCGCCTTAGACGACTGGGCCACTCGTGCCCTGCAGCCTGCACACATGTAGGTGGTGGACATATACCAACCCGGTGCAACCCACTACCACTGCTAGCCTGACCATGGATTAGCAAGCTCGATGCAATTCGCTGATCACGGCCGGTGGATCTCACTGCGGCCCCTCTGTCCCTGGGGGTAACAGGTTCCCCCATCAGCCCGACGACCCCCTCGCTCCGACAAGCTACATCAACATTCTTTCAAGGAAACACGGGCTTCCATTATCGACATGAAATTAAAACTAACAATGTCCTTGTCACAATATACCGTGTACAAACAGCGCCGAGTCAGGGAGTATATTAATGTATACAGTAATGTTATACTTGTACAATATCCAGGTGAAACTGCGGTAGAGATCCGCAGAGACTCCCACATCATCTTCGCCAATTATGTCTCATTATTGAAACCCAATCTTATGTTAAAGTAATGTGTATTTATCAAGATACATGTCTACTTAATTTAGTTTGCTTTTCGCTAATGAAGTGTTTACATGAATAACATACTAGGTTGGAAACATATTAGCTGTTTCACGAACACCTGATGTCATTAACTGTCTTGAAAATTTTATTCAAGGAATGTCAGACATACTCCGGGGCGGGATGTTTTCCGAGACCAGCTCTGGCTTCCCTATTGTTAATAAAACTTGTCATATATACACACGACAGGCAAGTCGGCTTTGTGGTGGTCTACAGTCATTCCTCATGTCTTCGGGGAATAATAATTCGATCGAATATATGTTTGTCAATGTTTTCGGGCAAATGTTGTTTTGCTCTGTGATAAGAAATAGTACGAAATACTTTATTCTGGATCAGCAAACCAGTGGTTGACAGCATGAACTACTATACACGTCATAAGTATATAACTTATTGGTAGTGTGTCATGATAAGTTCACCGCAGTTTCACCGTATTTTCACGCCTGAGCTCGTGTGGTTTACCAAAGTGGTAATCTTTTTACATCTGCCTCAATTTCTTTATACCTGAAATACTGTTCACAGCGGCGTAAAACACAACTCACTCTTTATATTGAATAAGACCGCCTCCGTGGTCTACTTGTAGGGCGTCCGCCCGGAGAGCGGAAGGTCCGGGGTTCGATCCCCTGCCGCGTCATAACAAAAGACGTTAAAAGATGGTACTTGTTGTTACCCTGTCTGGCGCTCGGCATGAAGGGGCCAAAACAAGGACTGGTCGGCTCGGAGTCAGTATACTGTGTCTGAGAGGGGTATTCATGTTAAACTGCGGCATGGTATCCCAGTTAGGTAGCACCATAAATCGGCATTAGTCCGGACTAGTACAAGCAGCCACACACCCCACCTGCATGCACGTCGCTATATAAGTGCAATAATCTTGGATGCGACGTTAAACCCAATTTCATCTCACCTCACCTATATTGAATAATCAAATGACATTTACCTTATGCGCTGTCCGCGCGGGCAGCGAAGCGTGACCTTTTAGCACTTTTGGATAATCTTGTTCACAGAGTAAGCTGCCGTTGACAATACTGAACCTATCTCCTGGCACGAGCTGCCCGTGGCACGAGACGCACGTGAAACACTTCAAGTGATATACGTTGCCTTGCACGCGCATTACGAGCTCGCTGGCAGGAATGTTTTGTGAACAGGCCGCGCATGTACCTCCAGACCCAAATAACCTGAAACACACAAGGCAAACTGTAAACATAACGTGTCAAACGAAATATTTTCACAGCAACGATAATCCTTGTGATTTGTCACATAAATCTGGAAACATATAAATTTGTATGATAATATTAATAACAATCGATGCGCTATTTTATATAGCACTCGCTTTGTGTGTTCATCTAATGACGCTTAATCATGTTAAATAAAAAACCCGATTATATTGTACATTTAATACTCGGTTATGTAAGTCTACGGCCCTTGTTATGAAATGCTTCCATCATTCCAGATACAAAGGTCCGGAAATACATAGAATAATAAAATAAAATAAAGGAAAGTACACGAAAACGTCATTTTCTTTACTTAATGTGTGAACACAATCCAATAACAATGTCTCGATACCTTTGGAAAAAATATAATGTATAATAAAAATTCTAATAATGGTATTCAACGAGCTTTTTGCACGAAAGCCCACGAAATCAGAAAATAAAATATCGTCGTCATGGAAAAACAGATTTCGTTGCAACGAAGAAGTCGTGGAAATTCATATTTTTTATTTTTTTAAATATCACCGATTCGGAGTACGAGGACAATATTAGCAGGAATTTACATCTCATCCCGCGTGGGCAAAGATGGCTGGACTAGCATCATAAGATTTAGATTCATATTAAACATTGAGTTGACAATACTGCTCAATCATCACACACAGTAAACTCAAGAATACTGTTACAGTTTTAATAAACCTATCGATAACAGAATTAGCACACTGAAGGGTCATTTCATGGTTGAATAGTCTAATACACATTTGCTATGATAACCATTCAAGGCGAACTACGCGGAGAGCTTTCAAACTTGGACTGGTTCGATGGTTCGACAAGTTCCAAAGTATATATTAGTTCAGTTTCCAATAAAACACAGAATGTAACATCAAATTGATCAGTACCGCCATTGAATGTAACAAAGGCGAACAGACATATTTTGTCAATATGTAATTAAGTGGAAAAAAGACTCTTGCTTATACCAACAATAACGGTTGGTGATCAATTGTGTACAGAACCTGCTTCAGTCGCTGAACACGCTCGAAATATCGCGGGAAACAGATGGTTGATTTAACAACTGTTTAACTGAACAAAAGGTTTACAACGCCAACAAAGTTCCGAGTCACACGGTAAAACAACTCCACTTGTGGCCGAACGAATACAGTCATTCGTTGTTACAAGAATTGATACCTACTCATGAGATCAAAAACAGCAGTTTTCTTATGTACTTGGAAAATCCACTCTGAATGGTAGTTACAAACAGAAAACTTCAACCTGACCGAGAACACGGTTGTTTGTGCGTGCACAGGGATGAATCAAAACACATCTTCAACATACAATGTACAATGGAAGAGATTTAATAACTTATTTATCAACCGGGCATTTTTTAATGTTATTTGCATTGTATACAGCACGTTGTAGAGTAACATTAAGTCTATGAAAACTTATATTAAACAATACTCTTCTCGGCTCTAAAATCAAACAAATAATGTTCCCCGATGCAGATTTCATAATTTCATGATTTCATGTGGAATAGAGCTGGCTAGACTTTTTTTTGTATACATAGCTAGATTGGTTATTTTTCATAAAATATATATATATTCCACGGTCATGGTGTAGGACTGAGCACGTGGTAACAATGCCATATCATCTATTCTGTTCAATTTCATCTGTAAAACTGCGTTGGACTCAAAAGGGTTAAGAGTAAAATTGAGGCCAGGACCATCGTTATTCACTACTGTTTAATAGAACATAAACCATATTTATATAAAATTACTGCGAAGGATATTAGTACGATAAGAAATTGGCTGAAATAAATTGGTTAATAAAACGAGTATGATAATGGATACCTGAGTTTATAATGGACGGCGGGCTTAATATAACATCGCCAATAGTTCTCAATTTTGTCTGTAATAATATGACTGAAAAACCCGATGTTATTTCATTATAAAGCAATTGAGTTGTCCAATTTAGGATTTGCGACCACTGTTTGCTTAGCTCTTCAATATTGAGCGGTGTTTTACCACCGTAAATTGACACGGAATAGCTAAATTAAGCCTCAACGCTGATTATGACAGATATTTAAAAGCAATATTTGATGGAGCTAGATATGTCACGTGCTGAAAGATAACGTTTCAATTTAGCCCTGCCGATAGATATAGCACCGACAAGCTATTGGACATACACCAGCCGCGAACAGCGTGAGGAGAAATTGAAATATTAATTAAATTTACTTGGCTGGTTCGGTTCGATATCTGCCCCTCTTTGCTAAAACTCCGTCTACACAATACACTACTTTAATAAGTTTAACTGCCTTGCGGGCATAAACATTAACACATGGCCCAGGGCGGTTCTGGCATGTGCAACGGTTCCTTAATATTAAATATGTGCCTATGATAAAATCCATATTGGCTTCGATACATTCTCCAAGACCAAGGAGTGTAATTGACGGCCGCTAAAATTTACAGCGACTCGGATAATATCAGAAGAGAGGTAATAATGAGGCTGTGATGGACGCTTGTCGCGATATTGAATATTACATGGTGACATTTGGCCCTCTGTTCTCCAATTACATCCCGGATGACAGGCTGGTAATAATAATTTCGTTTCGTTCAATTTCCCTTCGCGAAAATTAAACATACCTGGCCCTTTGAGCTTCAAAGGTCGGCGAATCTCTCAATATTGGGAGTTACTGAATCCTGAACCGGCTATCGCCCTTGTCCGAATTGCGGAATGATATATTTGGGAAACTACCGGGCCCTCATATTACGATGGTTGATAGATTAGGAATGATTTGTTTAGTTGCGAGGGGCTGTAGGGTTCAGACACCGCGAAATAAAGCAAATACTAATATACAATCGGCCACACAACAGAGAGCTGCAAGTAATCGCTAAAAACCAATATTACAGCGTCCCATCGCAACGCCAGCACGGGTGCACATGACCAGGGTTATCTGAAGAGAAACTTGTTGTAGAAGACCGTATATCCCTGTATCAACAGCACTCGTGGTCGGGGATATTACACATTTTTTGGAAATGCACTGAAGGACTTTCGCGTGGAAAAATATATCTAAATAAGATTTGGTTAAAGAATCCTGTGTGATTCAACAACGGGACATTATTACCTTATAACGAACTCGTTGGCAACAACTGTCGCCTCAGTCGGCGAGTGAATTGTATTTTCTCACGCAGATATATTCTCGCCTGTAATACTGTAGTCAATTAGGGACGGAATGTGGGTTTGCTTGTTGTCATACACAGCAATATTCCAGCTGTATGACGGACCAGACAATCAAGTACCTTACATATGCATCGATCTACACCATAATGATACGATGACAACGGCGGCTCCAGCATTTTTAAAAGGGAGGGATCCAAAATTTCAAAACCCTATCTCAGATAATTTTCTCTCTCGATGATACAGGGCGGAATGCATGAATTATTTCGCAGGCATCGGGGTAATAACACTTGAAATACAATGAATTGTTGGACAAGTTTACATGGGGGATTCAAGTTATTTCACAACATTAACATATCTCCACAATATGTAAGCAAACAACCACACCGTCAAAATACATCTCAATTTCATACAGTTTAACAGTTAGAAAGAACCGTTATTCAAGCAATATCTGATGTTGGCCACAATATCGCCCGTTAATGTGTGACAAAGGAACAAGCTAACCACGAAGATACCTAAACTGTAGAATACTAGTATTTAATGTAATGATAAAATTCCAATATTATCAGAAACGTATTGAATGTTTATTTAAAAATAACAGTACAAAAACTCTCGGGTTCGTGCAGTGATAACTTCCTCGTGAGTAAATATCGACACATGCAACATATGTCGGCACGACCCGGTATAAACAACGTTAAATATGGCGAAACCCTCAAGCCCCGTGACAGTCCTTTATGTGCTAGTTCAGACTTCAGTAACGAGATGTCATACATGATGGATATGTCTCTTAATTGCCTTTTACCTGAACGGATTGCACGTGGAATTATAATAAGTGGAACATGCTTTAACGTTACGTGTTGACATATGATCGACACAAAGTGTTCACGATCAATGTCTGGTAACATGTGTATGAGACGGAGAGGAGTTTAGTCGGGAACCTGGGGCTGCCATTTTTCAATATTGTACTATTTTGCACAATAGATTGGACGTCCTTGGCACAGCGAATCGACAAACGTTTGATTTTACAACAATTACAGTTTTCCTTAATATTGAATTTATACAACAGCCGTTCTGGCAATAAGGTGAAAAAATTGATGTGATTACAACAGCTAACAAATCAAATATTGATAGTCAAGCTTCTGCGTTTGTAATTAAATTTTAAGCTACTGACCCATGCCTTGTAAACTTCAAAGGGTAACGGATCACATTAAGGACCAGAATGTTTTTATCAGTTTTGATACTTTGAGCGAGTTGGTCTCAAGGCCATTTTTTTCTTCAAATGATAAATCGTCATCTTGCTGTACATATTGTAGATTGAAATATTTCGTTTGTACACATGTTTGTTAGTTGTTTAACGCCGCGCTCAGCAATATTCCAGCTAAACGACGGAGGTCTGTAAATAATCGAGTCTGGACCAGACAATCCAGTAATTGACATCAAGAGCATCGATCTTCGCAATGTGGAATAAAATGACATGCATTAACCAAGTCAGCGAGCCTGACCACCCGATCCCGTTAGTCGCCTCTTACGACTACCATAGTCGCCTTTTACGGCAAGCATGGGTTGCTGAAAACCTATTCCATCCCGAATCTTCACGGGTTTGGTGTCACGTGTCCATTGTGACACTACTTAACAAGACTGGTTTGCCATCATTTCATCATGCTGCTAATGGATCTATTTTCTGGATTTCTATTCTTATCATGATACGGGAACACAATACATTACATATGCTCATCTACCAGTGAAGATTCGGGATGGAATAGGTCTTCAGCAACCCATGCTTGCCGTAAAAGGCGACT